TCTATCCTAATTTTTATACACGTAAGGATTCTACTAACTATAAACTAGTTTATAGCTTCACTTTAACAATTAGTGATTGTTTTCTAGGATAGTTTCAGTATATGGAATGTGCTTTATTGGTATGCTGTGCTGTACATGTTTTGTGCAGGGTTTCATGATTATCCTTTTAGCTCATCTGAATTCCTCCTTAGTCATCTTGTACACTCACACCTTTATAGACTTTTGCACTTCATATTTAAAGCTGCTCTATTCATTTTTTTTTTCTGTTACCAGTGCATCACATGACTTTTTGAATCTGAAAGGAGCTGCTCATAGTGACAAATCCACACAGAATTATTACTTGATTCTGCATCTCACCTCAAACATACTGAGCATTTTAGTGTCATTTGGCTCATTGTTTTGGTTTCAAGACCTTCACAATAATGCCTTCGTTGACCCTCAATGCTGTCATCAGTGCCGTTTCATCTAGACTTTTTAACAAGGAAGCTTTGATAAAAGCGTTGTCCAGCAGGCAGCAAGAATGGATGTACACTAGATTTATTTCCCAGGAGCTGGTGGCTAAAAGAGAATGAGTTTTGGACCTACATTTTACCTTCAATCAAAAACGGATGCGATGTGTGTGTGTGTGAATCTGCAAGTAGGACACGCTTCACTAACCGTTCCTTTGTTGCTTCTGTACTATTCCAAAATGCCACTAATGTAACACCACTTTCATCTTAATGAACTTCAATGATAATTGTGTCATCAAACGGAGCCTTAACAGATACAGAATGACATTCAGTCAAATATGAGCACTTGAGTTCTAGTTTTTCAAATATAAATAATCCTAATTGTACATGTTACAATACCAAATAAACTCACGGCTTGTAAGATATACATAACACAGTGCTCCCTCCATGTGTCTCTGTCCCTCAAGGTGAACAATGTGGACATCAGTAATGTGCCGCACAGTTTTGCCCGCTCCACCCTGGCGCGTCCCTGCACCACCCTGCAGCTCACTGTGCTCAGGGAGCGTCGCTGCGCCTCTCGGGCACCTCCCTCCTCTTCCTCCTCCACCCCAGCTGTGCCCCACGCGCCCTGCTCCACCCCCGAAGGCACCCCGTCCAGCCCCGCCACACTGAGAATCACCCTACATAAGCGAGACTCGACAGAGCAGCTCGGCATCAAGCTGGTGCGGCGAACGGATGAGTCAGGAGTGTTTGTGTTGGATCTCCTGGAGGGAGGCCTGGCAGCCAAGGACGGCAGACTGCGGAGTAACGACCGCGTGTTGGCAGTCAACGACCAGGACCTTCGCCACGGCACCCCGGAGCAGGCTGCTCAGATCATACAGGTAGGAGTATATGTGGTTATTAAGACTGGATTTGTTTTGATATTAAAATAAGGCAATGGAATTTTGGTGCTTCGGATTTGACTCTAAAGGACTGACTCTAACTTTTCAGGCCAGCGGAGAGCGAGTCCACCTGCTGATTGGCCGACCCAGCAAACCAACTCCACCCCCACCGCCAAAATCGAGCTCCACCAGAGACCTCTACTGCCTTGATCACTTCCTGCCTAACCACAGCTCTACCCCGAGTCCTGTGCCCATACACCTGTCCCGCACCAGCACCCACAGAGTGAGGAAATGACTTGCATATGTGTGTGGGTGTGAGTGTGGTTCCATCACCAATAGCAAGCGGTTGCATTTCCAGTTTCACCTTCACATGAAAAGCATGCTTTTAGTGATGGAGTTTAATTGAAAACATAATTTGCTATACAAAGGAATAGGAAAGGACATTTATCTGCAAGTAGACACTGTTTTATTAAGGCTGAGTCTGTTTGTGTTGCGTCCTTGTGATGACTCCCAGGACCTGTCCCAGTGTGTGACCTGTAAGGAGAAACACATCACTGTGAAGAAGGAACCTCTCGAGTCTCTGGGCATGACCGTCGCGGGAGGGCGGGGCAGTAAGAGCGGGGAGCTGCCAATCTTTGTGACCAGTGTCCAACCACATGGCTGCTTGTCTAGGGACGGACGAATCAAAAGAGGTGAACTCTCCTTATAAAATTTCAGTAATGGGGTCAATTCAGCCAGATCACAACCATCACATCAGTAACTCCTTCTTGCTCTCCTCCCTCAGGTGACGTGCTGCTGAGTATCAACGGGCAGGACCTGACGTACCTGAGCCACAGCGAGGCTGTGGGCACCTTGAAGGCCAGCGCTGCCTCACCGTCCGTCCAGCTGCGAGTGCTTGAGGTCAGCATGGTGGAGGAGCACGACCACGACGAGCTGCTGCCTCACACGCACGACAGCGACTTCGATGCCAACTGGTCGCCCTCATGGGTCATGTGGCTCGGGCTGCCCAGGTGAGCACACAGAGGACAGGAAGGATTGTGAAATCGTACAATTCTGGATATGAGGTTGTTTTTGAGCTACGATCAGACGTCTGAATCTGTTATTATGCAAAGTTGCTGTGGTAACTGTGATCGTATGCATCGCATTTAACTGAGTCATGGTTGTGAAAAGCTCTTCAGCTGCTCTCTTCACCTTTTTTTAGACTGGGCGGTATGAACTGAGACATTTATCATCATAAACTGTCATGTTGAATTCTTTCTGATTTGTTTGTCGTAACTAATTACTGTCAAATGTCAGAACTGTGAGCTTTGGGCTGATTTGTTGCTTTGATGTCACTGGTTGTTGCAGCTATTCTCATCTCACTTGCGACTATATACTGAAAACTGTATGAGTATATTTCCTGGCCCTCCTTCACTCTGAACACTCCTCTTGCAGCTACCTACACAGTAGTCATGAGATTGTACTGCGGAGGAGTCACCCGGGCAGCTGGGGCTTCAGCATCGTCGGGGGATACGAGGAAAGCCACGGCAACCAGGCCTTCTTTATCAAGACCATCGTCCTCGGTACACCTGCGTACTATGACGGCCGCCTCAAGTGAGTGATTAGTTGTTCTTCCCTCGACTATCTGTGTCTTATGTTCGCCGTGATATAGTGGTGAATCAGCAAGTAGATAAACTGTGACCTCCTGCTTTTGATAGAGGAGAGTGGCGTGATGATAGGCAGACAGAGGGCATTACAAAAAAACAATACATTTTTATTTCAGATTCTTTTTTTCCCTGTTTTTATATGCTCCATAAGAGTTTATTGTATGCCTTTGTTATTTTAAGAAAAAACGCATAATGATCACTACAATTCATGATAGAAGACGTATATGCTTGAGCATTTCAAGATTTCATTGAAAACAAAGTAAACTCCTGCAGTTCTTGCAAAGATTTGCTGTGTATTCTGCACTTCTTTTCTTTACCAGTCTTCATAGGTGTGGCCTTTTTGCTGCGTCATCATTATCTTATCTATTGTCATAATGCAACTAATAACCAATAAAAGAAATCAGTTCCGTTTGACCTCGTCTGTGTGCACACAGTTTACAAATAGAAGTGAAAAAATCTGTTGTAGTTATAAAAAGAATAGGTGAACCCTGTTCTGCAGTTCAAAAGCAGTGGTATCATTTACTAAATGGGCTCCTTTGGTATGCAACAAAGATGGCAGTTATCTTAAATTTAATTTTCTCACAACTGACCTGGGGTTAAACTGACAGGATTTTCTCTCCAGTGCCCTTTTTCTTTACCTGTTCTATCCCAGCAGTAGAAAATATTAAGAACAAGCCATTTTTTTCTCAAAGATTTCAGGATGTGATGATCTGTATTTGTCCTCTTATCAACAAGGTGACAAAAATACAGAGACCAACAATAAATTGACATACTATAGTTGGGATATAGTTTGTGCCATAGTTAAAAACACAACCAGAGCTACGCTGTTGCATTATGTACATGCTCCTTTAGTACTTGCTAAAAGCTTGTTACAGCAGGAAACTACTGAGCCTGTATTTCAAATGAAAGATGCATTGTTGGCATTATGGCTGCAGCCTGCAGCTGTCAGGTCCTGTTTATAGTCCAATACGTCCATGCTGACTTGTCTCTTGGTGTCGTCTCAGGTGTGGTGACATGATAGTGGCAGTCAACGGCCTGTCGACAGCAGGGATGAGCCACTCGGCGCTCGTGCCCATGTTGAAAGAGCAGCGCAGCCGGGTGGCGCTTACTGTGGTCTCCTGGCCCGGCAGCCTGGTATAGCCGGGCCATATCATCAGCAGGCTGCGCTCTACGCTGAGTCCACCCAGAACGTTCTATATTGGGAACGACCTTGGCCAAAGTGAACTGGTACACGCTACTGTACATCGCTCCATACCGGGCTTAATCCAGGACCAAAAGCATTCAGAACTGTTGTAGACCCAGCAGGACCAAGCCTGTCCTGACCAGGTGGGAACTGATCCAGATCGTGCCACGTCACTCGACAGACTGCACTCACAAACACACTGCTGTGTTCATATGGTCATGTTGTCTTCACTCCCGCAGGGAGAATGGTACTGCAACTGTTAACAGGCGATCTGTGCTGTATTCACCTCACCAGGCAGTTGTAGAATCCAGGGCTGTATTCAGGTGGATGCACCGTTGCAAGCGGAGATAAAAACATTTTTAAAAAGCAGTCTGCGATCCTGTCATCTCGGATAATGACCGCAAATCACGTTAATCAAGATGTTCTGCAACGCCAGAGCTGTATCCAGCTGAATAAGCCTCAGGCCTTATTAGAAACCTGCCGCACCCTGGGGGCTCAACTGCCCTTAGGCCTCATCACCATGACAACCAGCTGTCCCATCAGCTGGAGTTTTATACATGTGTGAATGTGTGTTCTGTTTGTTTAATAAATATTTCCTTCGAAGGAAAAATGACTCGACAGTGTGCTTTGACTTTGCAATGAGGATTGGAGTGTATACGGCAGTTTAGCATGTTTACATGAGCATGTTTTAAACAGCCTACACAGGTATAGAAAGATGTCTAGTTTTATGCTTTTTTAATTAGGCTTTGTTCACACTGGCATAAACAAAGTACATCAACAGAAATATGCAGTTTGTGTCGCTCATAATGAACACATCCAAGCAGATATTAATAATGCAGCCTCAAGATTTTTTATCCTGTAAAGTTATATTGCACAGCTTTGCAGCGAGCTTGCTGGCCTCCGCTTGATTGGCTGCAGCTGTCAGTCTGACCTGCTGTGCCATCCGCAAGGGCTGATTCTTTTTAGGATGCAGCTTCTGGAAGGGGAGCAGAGAAATAAAACCATACATCATGCACAAGGACAGAAGGGAGAAAAGTCACATTTCCTATATAAAAAAAAAAAAAAGCAGACAAGGACGGTTTACCTTCAGCTTTTTCCTTGCTGGGTCATGCACCACTCCATGTCGCCATAGGCTTTCCTGATTAACAGTCACACCGGTCACCAAATACAGCATCAGCAATTTAACAGATCAAGTCACCCAAATACGTCAATTTGGGTCATACCATGTACATTTGTTTCTCTTTTTTTAAGTGCTCCTTTGTTTAAAAAAGAAAAGCTTTTCCATAATGTAGGCTACTATTGAGTTTGTGCTGCTTAAAAAACACTGAACACATTTTAATAAGCAGGGGATGTCACTCAGAATAAGCTACCTCATTCTGCACCGTTTCAAGCCAAACATAGTTTAGTATTCATTTCCTATTGTATTAGTTTGCAGTGCGCATATGTCAAGATCTTTAAAAAGTAAAAACCTTAAACTATCAGCACAGCTGGTGCAACTATTTTGAGAAAGTAGTTCATTATTTTGGTGAACTTGCAGCATTTAACGTCATTAAACTGCAGTGCAGGTTTACCTTCATGGCAAAGCTCTTCCCACAGCCAGCGTAGGCACAGCTGATGGGCTTCTTCCCCTCATGATCTACTAGTACGTGACTTTCCAAGTGGAAGCGACGGGTGAACTTTTTGTCACAACCTTCTCTGGGACACAAAAACATCCTCCTCTCCCCAGAGTGAACGCGCAGCTCGTGCTGTTGCAAGAACCAGGCGTTGTTAAACTGCCTTTTGCATGCTACACACGGCACCTTAACTAAGAAACAGAGATCAAAATGCAGTTGCCATTTGTGATTCAGCAGCTCATGATTAACAAAATGAATCTAATGTTTTGCAACATTACACCCATACCTTTGTGTTCTTTTCTGTGATTCACATATTCTGTCCAGGTTTTTCCAAGGAAGGGACACATTTCATCCTCACAAGGGTAACCTGCAGCAGACAGTTTAAGTTGAACTTGCATTAAAAAAGAAAAAACTGCATCCTCGTTACCAACCAACCTTCATGCACTTTCTCATGATGCTTCAGTTTTCCACGGCTGGGAAATTCTCTTGTGCATTCACTGAAAGTACAACTACATCAAAAGAAAAAGTTTAGATGTGAGATGGCCCAAAATAAGCAAAAATCACACTTTCTGTGCAGCCACTCACTGAAAAGGCAGAATCTGCTGGTGCTCACACATATGGGCTTTCAGTTGGTACTTCTTGTTGAAATCCTTGCTGCAGCCTTGATGGTCACACTGAGGGAAAACAATAGCATAAGCAACCAAGAATCACTGAACATCTTGCAAGAAAAAAAAAAAAAGAAGGTTAGCAAAAGGAGGACTGCTGTACTTTATATCGCTTTTCCTGGTGCTGGTGGACTCGAGCCATGTGGTTTTTCAGGCTGGCATTTGTCACAAAGGCCTCAGAGCATCCATCAGCCAGACACCTGGAGAGCAGAGCAGCCAATAGATCTACACAAAACACCACGGAAGTCTATTTTACTTTGTCATTTCAAAAAAGGGACATGGTGGCTTACTTGTGTGGTTTCTCCCCACTGTGACTGAGCTCATGTCTGGTGAGTTGATGGCGAGTGCAAAAGCTCTTGTCGCAGTTCTCACAGGAGAAAGGTTTCTAACATCAGGCAGAGATCAGACACACAATGTGAACGTGTTGGCTTGGTCATTCTCGTGTCAGCTGTTTATATTTGTTCAGTTTGGCTATGAGCTCTTCTGAGCCACTTACCAATCCCGTGTGTTTGCAAAGGTGAGCCTCTAGCCTCCATGACTTACTGAACGTAGCTTCACAATCAGAAAAAGAACAAACATAGCTTGTTTGACTTTGCAACCTCTTTCCCATCTTTAATAAGAGATGTCAGGTGTGGTGTTATGGTCCCAGACAAAACTTGTACTAAAGGGGTAGGACACTATTGACCTACAACCACCAACTCACCTGAACTTCATTTATCTTACTGGAATGTACCATTTTGGGAAGAAAAGGGGGGTGTCATGACTCACTGAAACGGAGAAAGCCTCCTGTTGTTCAGCAGTCACCTACACTCCACTGATCCAATGTGAAATATGTGAGGCCTCCTCAGTTTAACAGTGACTCCACTGATACGCAAACATTATAAACCTCCAGGAGCCTTTTCTTCCACACTGATTGATACAGGCTTTAAAAATGTCACCCAGGCTCCTTGCAGTATGCATCCCTATCTGCTGATCTGCTGTGGGGTGAGCAGACCTCGAGAGAGGCGACTGTCTGTCTCCATTAATCACACACACACTGAATTTACTCCTCTAATCTTAATCTTATCAACCCTCTAATAACGTTCTCTGATAGGCATGATTTATTGTTGTCAGACGTTCAGTGAGATCTTTTGTAACCCACAAACCTGAAACTAAATCTGCCCTTAAAGCTCCAGTGTGCAACATTTGAAAGCAGAACACGTCACAAATGTTAGTTTGAATTTGGTGTATTTTATTGCTATGAGCTCAATTTCACATTTAAAAGAGGAAGGGTATGATAGTTTTGTTTTGAAAGTTTTATTGTTTGGTTTTAGCTCAAATTAAATGTTGAATTTTCCATTCAATCAAAGCAGAAATTCAAATATTAACAACAAAATGAGATAAATGCCGCAAAGGTGGACAAAGTACTTTTTTTGTCAAAGATTTTGAAGCCAAATTTTAGGGCTAAAAAAAAAAAAAGCCAGAGTCACAGACAATCCAATGACGTTATCAGCTTGTCCAAACATTACAGATCACCCTCTGCGCCCATGCCATGCTCTCATGTGAAACCTTTGACTGACTTTTGTGAATAAGGCCTATTGAGAGCCTGTTGGGCGTTACCTCAGTGCCCTCCCACGCTTCAGGTAAGCATGGCTGGGTCAGTTGACACTGTTATCAGCCTCCTCCTCCTCTCATCCGGTCCCCCACCACCACCACCTGTTCTGTCAGGGACGGGATCAATACAGCTGGCCCAATATCCGTCTATATGGCCATGCCTACACCTGTCTCTGATAACCAGCACAGACTCTCACCCCACCTATCACACACACAGATACAGCATGTGCTCTGTTTGGCCTGCAGTGGGATTTTCTTGTGCCTTTTGTCTAACTTTCGGGCCGATCCCAAACACACAACGTTACACCTACAATTGCATCACAGTCACAAATATTAGTCTCACGACCACTGAAGGTCTCTGTTGTTGAGAAACTCAGAGAGTATGAGGGATGGTGAGGCCTTGAAGGGGAGATCAGATTGTAAAGGGTTGGGTCAGCTAAGCTGCAAAGAAAATCCTATTCTAGATTTAACCATGTTACATTGGAAATTAATGGCACATTAAGTCATTTGTGGTCCTCACAGCACAGTGGCACAAGTAATAAGTCACCCAGGTTCCTTATTACAGTGGTTTATTTGAGAGTTTCCATTTTGGGTAACTTTATACTTTTAAATTAGCGACCAGAAGTTACATTTACATTCATTTTAAAGTAAGATACAAGCCACTATTCAAATAAAGCTTTTGCATACAAATTTAGAAAACAGCGTAGCTTAAACAATCCAAAACTTAGGGGAAAAAAATCCACCTCAACCTGACACAACACTGAGATACTCCTTATATTCCGTAAACGCTGAAATGCATCAACACCCACCAACATAGAATTTTATACAAAGCACCATTAGACTGGGAAAAGATCCAATTTACATAACATTTGTACTTTTAAACTTTTAGCACTTTTGTCTGATAATACTTCAGTGTCTTTATACAGTGTAAAAAGCAGGACATGAGATTTCTTTTACTTGTAGTAGTTCTAATTTTACCATTTAAATCATTTTTTATTTGTAAAAAATACTTTTTTGGTCATTGTTTCAGATAAATCACACTTATGCAATGAAGGCATACCCAGTCCCTTTTCATTACTGAACTTATTTAATTGAATGTACAGTACATTGGACACAAACCCTAACATATGATAGATATGGTGCCATCCAAAAGAATTTTATCAGCAGGTGGAAATCTCTTCAGCTTCTGCGTAATTAGATAAAAATATGCATTTCTTACACAATATTTATTTGTGAAATAAAACCTTCATAAAAAAATAATTGATCTAATCCATGAATTTAATAAATAGTCTAGACATCAAGGTTTGCTTGTTTCTTTGTTTTTAAAAAACGACTTTTGCTCCAGTTAAAGCCATATCTCCTGGCAGATTCACTGTCCTCTTTCCTCTAAATAATCCATCCTGCCAGCAGATGTCATGAGGACATTTATTTAGGAAACAATATCTCCAAATAAAGTTGACCCTGATGCCTGTGGATTACAGATCAGGACACTAAAAGACAAATTTCAGGGCTTTTAAAATGACATCTCTGAGATAAATATATCTAAGTTTGGGGATATAAACAAAAAAATATCTTTGCCACACGTCCCTCTCAGTTTGAATCACACAAGGTGGGAGGTCAGATAATTGTGAAATGTCATATCTGCATATCATGCTATGCAACAGTTCTACACAACCCTCTTGTGTGTGTCCATGTCCAATTATCTACTGTTTGTGTGTGTGTGGTTAATGTGTAACGCTGCGGGTCGATACAGCTGCTCCGAGCTGCTGGCTGAGCTGACAAACTCAATCTGTGTGTGTCAAACCTGTGTGATTAAGGAGTTCATAGTGCTGCACAGCTTTTATCGTCTCTCGGCCCTCCTCCCTCTCGCTTGCTTTCTCTCTCCTTCTATTTACTTTTTGTTTCTTCAATCAGTAACTTCCGCGAGCCGGTGCCACATATGACACTCTGGGGTGTCTGTGAGAACACACACAAAGGACTTACTGTAAAGTGGATGGAGATCACAGATGAAAAAAAATAGCACCTGACTGTACAGGTTCATAAAACTGGGGGGAGGGCTGGACCAGTGTAGGCAGGAGGAAGTCACTATGGATGATTTTTAATCCACAGTTTCTTCAAATATCAAGCTAAAAGCTGTGAGAATATTCAAATGTGTATAGATAACATTTGCGTTATCTAAATACTCCAAGCAAAATCCAGACCTTGCCAATCAATACCGCAGGCTTTGGCTGCCATCCTGCTCACTGATTGATTGCATTTTGTTTTTCCACCTGTTTTCTTCCTGGTTTTATCTCCACAGGTTGTTGGACACTTATTACTCTGCCCCGATAAGGCCCATGTCTGGAGAATTCCCTGACCTCAGGCCTGTGCAGGTTTATCTCTAAACGGGGTGCCACCATTGTTCACAAGAGGATTACAGCATTCATTCATTTTGTGCCATGTTCTCTGTTCGGATACACTTTATTTACAGATTCCATCAATTTATTATTATTTTTTTGCTTAAAATGTTGAAAATAATCGTCTTTTGGACTGATTCCTGTTGTCCTCCTCCGTCCTGAGCTGCTGGCCGTATCTCTCTAAACCGGTTCTAATTTGTGTAAATATTGAGTAAAGTACTGAGGTGGGATGAGATAACCTATTTGTCACATAACCAGCCAGCCATTCAGCCTCCACTGATTAAACAACACACAAGTGGTCCACACACACGCACACACACACACAGCTCAACCCCACCACGATGTTCTTATTTTTAATACAGAGGAACATAGAGCGTCAAAATCAATATGCACCAATGTGTCACCGGTCTACTGGTGGACTACGATATATGGTGAAAATCTGTGTATTTTTCTAGAACCCACTCATGCACAGGAGGCAAAATAGTGCATGATCCTGAGCTGCTTCAAACTTGAATGAATTGTATCTGATTATTCAAGTACTGTCTATAGGTAAAGATATATAACATGTAAAAAATGACTCTCGTGTCTTAATTGTATTTTAACTGCTCAAAAGTGAATTATGCACGTCTAAGCCAACTGTGACTAACTTTATTTTTACTCAATTATACTCAGACAAGTTATAAGGGAGTATAATCAGGAGGAAAAGACCATTCTGATTGGTCAACCACAGTTTTGACAAATCTAATCTAGATTGTAGGTACAAAAGACATTTCTGATTAATCAGAATTGCAGATTCTTTCGGTATCTATTTTTGTTTTATTTCATTTTACCTCACAGTGGAAAACACTCTTTAAATAAATTAAATCCTCTACTAAATAGCTACCACTGATTATAATGTGATATAGTTTGGATATTAACAACTGTCCTGTATGGAAATAACAAGAAAGCAAAATAACTCGACCTAAATTAGCGAGAGTTTTATGAAAATTTGCTATTCTGACAAAAAAAAATTGGCTGTGCAGAGGTGAGCAGGGGAAATTATGACCACGAAGAAGGACGGTGGTTTAGTTTGAGACTTTTTAAGGAAAATGCTGAATCATGGTCTGTTGACATGTTTTACATAAAAAAATAAAAAATCTATCAACTGAAGTTAAGGATAACACAGTCTGTGGTTATAATAATTCCTAATCTGTACCAATGACAAATTATTACAATCTTATAATGTGTGATTATGATGTGTACCTACTCTGTATATATTCAACTACATTACTCTTCAGTACATGAACTGTCCTGCTGCAGACACCTGCTGCTCCTGGTCTCAGCTCAGCACACATCCTGGTGCACACTGCCCCCTACTGCAGCAACAGTAGAAACTGCTCATCAATGTCATCAGCTACAAAGAAAATGACTAAAATGATCTGATTTTCATCACCTTTAATCAACATGCACCCACACACAACAAAAACATCCTCTTTTACCCTGTCAGATGGAATCAATTCCAATTTCTGCATCATCTTACTGAAACTCTCTTTACAAGATATATGTTTAGTAGATGATATGTGCAAAGTCAGGTTTCATATATATTTCACCATCATCCAATAAGACTGAATGATTCCATGTG